TTTTTTTTTTTTTTTTTTTTTAATATTAACTGTATCTTTATGTCTGTATTCTGGAACAATGCGTGCCTAGCCCCTTATAGGTATTCAGGAAATATTTATTGAATGGACAAATAAATGATTTGGTGTAATGTAAAAACCAGATTGCAGACAAACAAACAAAAAAAAAACAACCCTGAAATGCATGCTGTATTCCCTTGGGTAGAATAGTTGATTACTATACACTTCTTTTCCTTTTTCACTATTTGAAGGCCACTTACAAAAAATGGCCTGAAATCTGAGATACATTCAATTTATATAGAACACATGGTGTTTATAGAAACGTTTACCCAATAGTGTCACGCTAGTGAACCTTGATAATGTGTGTCACAGGTTTTCAGCATTAGCCCAGATCATCAGAGTTACTGCAAACAGCTGAAATATATCGATTGTATAACATTTATTTTCTCATAAAACATTGCATGGCCAAAGTTTGGGAGTTCGCTAGCCAGATTAGAGTTATTGTCATCTATATTATTGTAAAAGGAGCTGAAGTGGTTGTTTATTAAGTCATTAACTTTAAAAAAAAAAAAAAGTCCTTAACATTGGTGTAGAATCTAAATACTAGGCCTACAAGCAAAATAGTCTTGAAGGATCCTCATCTCACATATTTAAGTTCTAAGATAATCTTGGAAGCCACATCCGTCTGTGGGTGCTTCTAACAAAACCTGTGTTGCATGGATATTTGCTACATTCAAGCTGTGTACGTCAGCCTCTATATCCTAGAGCCTTAATTTTGATGTGGATGAACTGTTAAAATGTGAGTAGTGGGGAAAGCGGAGTTCTTAAATTTCTCATTCTTCTCTTTCTTATTCTTCTCTTTCCCTTCTTCCTCGTCCTCTCCCTCTTTATCCTTCTTAAAATATCCGCCATTGTCTTGGGTTCTGGAGAATATTGTCATCCAGAAGAGAGTTATTTCTCTTCAGCTAAATCTCACATGTTTGCAATCATCCTTCACATACCCAGTGGTTTGTGTCAGAAATGAGCTCTTCAGGGGCTTGTTGACCTTTCAGAGTCGAGAATTCTCCATTTTAGGGATTTATCCCTTGCTGGGAAGATTTTCTTTTAAGCATAAAAATGTGTACAAGTAGAATATTACAAAAACACTTTGAGTCTTTAGCTAAGTTTAGAGGAGGGTACTCCATCTTTCCTGCTCTCTGTTGCAAGGTATGTGTATGTATTTTCAATATGTGGAGTGGCTGAACTCTTCTTGTCTTGTACTTTCCTGGGCCCTTCCATTTGTAACATTAAGGTCATGGAAATAACTAAGAAGCTGCTACGAGTAGACAGTGGTTAGCCGGAAGTGGTTGATGAATGACTTCAGGTTAAGTGACCTTTGTTTCTCAGGCACGAAGAATCATTAACTCCTCTAAAAAGATGATAGAATTTAGGAAACAAATATTAAACAGAAGGTAAAATGATGATGGTTCATACAAGGCTTCCCAAAAGAGTTTGCTTCTCAAAATAAGGTAAGATTTCCTGGCATACAGATAAGAACTTTCCAGCATTCCATGTATGCAGAAAATTCCACATATGCAAACAGGTTTCACAATTTCAAAGATTTGGATTGCTTGTCTGCTGCATTTAGATGAATTGAAAATCCAACTCTCTGGTGTTCATCTTACCCCAATAATATGCTAATTTTGTCCTTAGGGCCTGTAAGAGTTAATGTCATAAGTTGGAATTTACTCACTAGTAGATAGATGCTTGGGGAAAATTGGTTCAGTGTTTTTCTTAACTGATTGTGTTTTCAGGATGAAAATCAACAGACTATGAATCAAGAGTTGCCAAGAAGATCAGTGTGTTCCATTTGTACCTATACCATTGATTGCATATTTCCCTCAGGACATTTCTACTTTGACAAACACACACACAGTTTCTTAAAAAAAAATGTTACTAGCTGGAGTTGCTGCTCGGGCTTCCTCTGTTGGCAGAAACAGAATGCCTGATTTCTATGTTGGCAATCCAGATTATTTTTTATTCTATATTGAATAAATGGGGCTGCTAAACTGCAAACAATTCAAATACATTTCTTTCTGCACCTATAAATTCTTTCAAGTTTTCCTGAGTTGGGAAATGTGGTGAGGCCCCTTCTACGTGTTCAAAACTGTAGCTGGTTTCCTATGATGAGTAAATATCCATGACATCTCATGATGTTCCTGTGCCTTACATATTTTGCATGTTTTGCAAGTTTTGAAGTCCTTATATTATTTCACATTCACTTTATAATGATTCTACAAGATAGATAGCATAGACTTCAGTCTAATGGCTTATAGATGATGATGAGGCTCAGAAAATTTCAGCAGGTTTTCTACAGTCACAGAACTAGGACATAGGGAAGCCAGGATCAGAACTTCAGTTTTCAGATTTGAGCCCAGAACACTCTACTCTGATGCAAGTTCAGAGCATTATCGCTTTTGGTCAAAGGACATTGCAATATGATAGAAATGATATATTTTGCAATTTATGCCCTAGTGTTAACAGATAGCACTTTATACTTCTCTTTTTCATCACTGTCACCTCTTCACAGAAGGAGATCTCATTGCTGTTCTGTCCTCTGATTTCTTTAATAACTAATCTGATTTTCCAAAAAGAATTTTAAGACATGACCTAAATATGGTAATTAACACACTGAGAGGATATATCAACATGACCCGCTTTGTGTCCCTTTTCTAGTGTGGATACTCATGAATATAATTTAATGTTACTTTCAAAACACTGAATTTTATGTTTTGTAGTTTAAAAACTTTTTAAATGTTTATTTATTTTGAGAGAGAGAGACAGAGTGTGAGTTGGGGGGGGGGGCGGGAAGGGGCAGAGAGAGAGAAGGAAAGACAGAATCTGAAGCAGGAAGCAGGCTTGAGGCTCCAAGCTGTCAGCCCAGAGCCCATTGCGGGGCTCCAACTTACGAACTGCAAGATCATGACCTGAGCCGAAGTTGGTTGCTTAATTGATAGAGCCACCCAAGCATCCCTGTTTTATAGTTTCTATGACTGAGTTTACACAGTAGTATTCAGTCAAAGGATGGGCCACCTTCTAAAAGCTCTCTCACTGGCAGAGGAAGAACACTAACCGTTGCTTTGTTAATAGGAGAATTTTGGTTCCTTTGGTCATCTTTTGCCCAGCAGAACTCAATGCACAGCTTCTACTCAAAGTTGATAATTTTGTTTGGTCATGAAGCACAGCGGTAGGAGTAGCAAGGAAATTTTTAAGGAAAATGACTTTTCTGCCTATTCTTGGGTTTCTGAATTCATATCCCTTTAACCTAGCCCTATCTTTTGTTCTTCTCCGCCTATAAATAAGTCCTGATATCTTCTTATTATTAGTGGCCATTTAGAACTACTTGAGAGAGTTTCTAGTCAAAAAAGGGTTTCCGTTTCTCAGGACCGGGGAGAAACTCAGGAAATGGCCTTTTTTTTCTTCAGTGCTTTTGAGATTTTAAACCTACTGGGTGTGGGGTAGTGAAATTCTGAAATTTCTTTTAAATTCTGAATTTTTTTTAAAGTATCATAAATGCAAATTTTTTTTTTAAATTTTTTTTTTAACGTTTATTTATTTTTGAGACAGAGAGAGACAGAGCATGAACAGGGGAGGGTCAGAGAGAGGGAGACACAGAATCCGAAACAGGCTTCAGGCTCTGAGTTGTCAGCACAGAGCCCGACGTGGGGCTCGAACTCACGGACCGTGAGATCATGACCTGAGCCGAAGTCGGCCGCTTAGCTGACGGAGCCACCCAGGCGCCCCTCATAAATGCAAATTTAATTTTTCTCCACAGAGCCCCACATATGAACCGATTCGAGTATATTTCCCTTTTTTATGACTTATATGATGAGGAATAGAGAAAAAAGGAAAAGTCAATATTCAGGGGAACAAAACGTGTTCACTTTAACCGAAGCAATTACACTGTACCCAATAATATTTGGAAAGCCTTGGAACCTAGTTATGTTCTCAAGAAAACTCAAGATACTGGATATATACAATTTAAGAAATCCACTTCACATCAGTTCTCTATGTCTGTGTGAAATGGAAATGAAAACGTGTCAGGTAGTAATTCCTCTAGGAACCTGGGGAAATGTCATTTTCCTTTGTCCTCTTAGGTGGCCATGTTTGTGCTACAGCTGGGCAGTGCCACATTCCTGCTTACGGAGCCTGTGATCAGTGCCATGACAACTGGAGCTGCCACCCACGTCGTGACTTCACAAGTCAAGTATCTCTTGGGAATGAAAATGCCATATATCTCTGGACCACTTGGATTCTTTTACGTGAGTTTCCCATATGTCTTTGTTCGTGTGTTTTGGGAGTGTGTTTCACAAAGTAGAATCTGGTTAATTCTAATACTGTGTTGAAGGACCTTGGGTTTAAATACAGTCTTTGAGGATACTTGAAGTGTGATTTAGGATACAAAACTAGTTGAACAAATTCTACTGATTTTGGAAGAAATTCTGTACAACAGTTGAGTATGGTATAATTTGGGGTCACGATTAGGAAAAAATAACTGGAATTTTTTTGAGAGTCAGATATGTTGCCAACTTCTCATGGCAGCCATCTACTGGGGTTGTGGCCCAGTTTAACTACAGTACGCTCGACCACATTCATTCAGTGTTGTGAACTCTGGTTTGGCTCAAATCACAGGCCTGGTCAAGAATTGGTGGCTCAAGCCCCAATAGCAGACAGTTATTAAAAGTCATTTGAACAGAGAAAGGAACCTAGGGCCAGTTTCAAGATGTTATCCTAATACTACTCCATTGTTTTTGTGTCTTTTTGAAGCTGACCTAAAATCTATGACCGCTCAGGAAGTCACATCCTATGGGAGCTTTAGAAGAAAATGAATGTCTGGTTAATAAACTTGAGGGCAACGAAACTTCCTTTTACTTAATTTTATGTGGTAGAGGAAGAAAAAAACATTTCTTTCTACTCTCTAGGTTCTGAGCTGTGGGCCCTCTAACAAAAAATAGATTAACAAGAGAAAACTAACAAGTTTATTACCATGTATATCTCATACATACATGGGAGAAACTCAGAGATGAGTAACTCAAAAGAGGGGGCCAGAACTTGGGCATAAATACCATCTTCACCTAAAACCCAGGAAGAGAGTGTGGGGAGGCAGGTTATGGGAAGGGGACCATGAAAAGTACTATAAACAAGGATAAGGTTTGCTGTGCAGATGCTAAGTTGCACCTTCTCCATTGATAAGAGTTTCTTGTGATTTAGAGTCCTCCTTTCCTTCTTAGTACCCAGAGAGAGACACCTTACAAAGGGACATTTCCTTTATAAATGTAAATTTCTCTTACAAAAGGGTAATTTGTACTCTTCAGAGCTTCCTTGCCTCTGCTGTTTCTCCAGATAATAAGCTGAAAATAATCCTAATGTCAAAGAGGCTTATTTTGAGGTGGCATATTTTGGGGTGGCATATTTGGAGCTCCCACAGTGTAATACTGTATGCTAAATAACATTAATGTTTTATAATGAGGGTATTCCTACCCTCAATTTTCTTGATCTTAAAGGCTAAATGTTAACATGCGGAAGTACAGTAATTTCTTTATCGAATCCCTGATGTTGAGGTGGTTTGTCGTGTTTCACTCTTATACACAGTATTATACACAGCCTTATGAGGATCTTCGTTATTTGTGTGTTATGGTCTGTATCACCAATTATTTCATTAGGATAAATTCCTAGTGATGGAATTACCGATCAAAAGGGTGTAATTCGTTTTTTTCTTTTTTTTGCCAAATTTCAATCTAAAAAGTTGTGCTAATGAATATTGCACTCTCATTCTATCATCATCAACTCTGATTGTTACTGTTTTTAAAATTCGCCATTTTGGTCTGTGAAAAGTAGGAGTATTTATCTACTTAAACGTGTGTTTTTCTGATTAACTGGTAAAGTGGTCAATAAACAATAACAATTGGCAAGACAGAGCTGGGCGCTGGTCCTGCATTTTTGTTATGTAGGTAATATCCTGCTCAGTGATTCATTCATTGTAAGAAAGCTTAAAACTGAAACAAGAACACTGGAACAGAGCCTGGAGGCAACATAATTCCATGCTCCAGTACAAACAAGAGCAGACCAAAGTAGCTGTAAGCTGTCAGGTGACCAGTGGAGTAAAGACTTGGTGACGCCAGGTCTACCCCCACAGAACCGCATCAGCACTAGATTCTGCCTTGACCTCCTTGAATGGGGTGCTCCTCTGTGCACGTGAGGTGAAAGGAAATACGAGCAGGTTATAAATTAGCCTCTTCAGTCACTATTCACCTACACAAATAATCATCCTTCCTTTTCCTGGTTCTGTTAACGGAAGCAGGGTCGCCGGATATGGGAATGACATTTAGCCTTTCAGCTTGCTTTTCTCACGGCAGTGTGCCTAAAATGCTACCTTAAAGGGTTTTGCGTATGATTTTGTTTCCCATCCTGTTTTCTTGTGAGGAAAACTGTAAGCGAGTTGGTCTTCACTTTGTGGGTGAAATACCATGTGGCTTTTTGGGGAGGGGTTAAGTTCTCACAATGAAAGAGAATCAGATCTAAAAATTGTTGCAGGTGTCTGACTTTAAATTCACACTATTCCGTTGGTGGAAGTTGCTGTGCTGTGTGTTGAGGGAAAATGAAGAAAGTTGCTCTTGCTTTTCAATGTCACAGAGTCCTCCAGCGTTTAGGCTCCTAGGTTGGAATGGTGCCTGGATTCTTCGCCGGTGTTTTGAAGTGAATAGGGACATTTTAACGTCAAAAATCGTGGCAGTCTGAGCTTTAGATCAAGAAATAAGTTGTGCATCATGTGTAGGTTATACTGGGACATCTGCAAAGTGAGCTTTGGTGTAGTTAGGCTGAAGAATCTGATGATGATAATGTGTCCTCTGAACTTGCCCCTGCATCATGTGGGTGGGATGTGAAGGAGCAGAGCTGAGCTCAGCACAGAACGATAGAACAGAGGACAAAATGGAGGCCTTGGTCACTTGGTCAGAGAACCCAGAGGAGAGCGATTAACACATTTGGGGGATTTTTCACTCCGACTGTGCTTCCGACCTCTGAGCTTTTGCAACTGTTATATCCTTTTTGAAAGCCTCAGGCTGATGGGAGATAAAGATATTATTTGGGACATAAATTAATATCTAGACCATTTGAGGTTCTTGCACAAGGAGCCAGTTATCACTGCTAATTTTCTCAGCTAGAACCCTCATCTTTCTTAAAAGAACGCAAGTTTGGCCAATCAAAATTAATTCTGGTAGTAGCAATCCTTAATATCAGCTTTGAGAGAAAACACAGCCTTCTGCCCTTATCCTGTTCTGAGGTCACTGTAAGTTTGGCTTCTCAGTGTCTTTTACCTGGGCGATGCCTGATTCTGTGCAAAATCTCCATCCCTTTGGTTGCTCTGGGCTGGTTGATGTTCTTGCCTCAGCAGAACATTTTTATTTTTATTTTTGTAAGTTTATTTATTTTGAGAGAGAGAGAGAGAGTGCAAGTGGAGGAGGGGGCAGAGAGAGAGAGAGAGAGAGAGAGAGAGACAGAGAATCCCAAGCCGGCTCTGCACTAACAGTGCAGAGCCCTATGTGGGACTCAAACTTATCAACCCTGAGATCATGACCTGAGCCAAAGTCAGACCCTTAACCAACAGACCCAGGCGCCCCATGCAGAACACTTTTAGAGAACAATTTGAATCAGATACAGGTGCTGGTACCGTGCTCACTTCTGCCCTGTCAGATTATAGGAAAGGTCTCTGGCAGGTCTTAAGAAGGAGATATGCCCTAATGCATTTCCGTTTTCTGTGTCTGTAGATCACATGTGACCCATGCTAGCTAAGCTCAATAGTTAGACCACTTTTTCTCTTCTACCTGAAAACTGTTACCCAGCTTCATAAGATGAGGGGCTCTCCCAGAAGTGTTAAACCCCACTAAAGCTTTTTGAGTGCCTTGGAATTTCTAGGGTCTTTCTATGCAAGTGGATCCTCTGGAACACTATTATGATGCTCCTATATTTCCAATAATAAGTGGATGGAATTAGGCCTAATTCATCTTTTTTTTTTTTTTTTTTTTTTTTTTTTTTTTTTGCCTTCCTAAATCCCTTCACACATAATGCTTTACTTTTCCCTTTGTTCTGCAAGTTTTATCTCTAAATTCATATACTTCTAATGAATTTAAATTATGGCTGTTTCTTAATGATCTTTAAAGGAGTGGGTAAATATCAGTTTTTTTCTCTGATTTAACTTTTAGCTCTGGTGATTTTATTAGGGCCCATACAATCAAGTAGACACTAATTGATCTATCTTTTCTTTTCCTTAGAAAGAGGCAACAGGAGAAAGAACTTTAGAATTTTAAAAGCCCAGATTCAGATCAGAACTCTGGCTTTGACTAAGTATCTTTGGCTCCTGCTCTATAAATTGGTGATAATTTTACCTATTGGGAGTCATTTCCTAAATGAAATTTCTGGAATAAAATAAGTGTTCATTAAATAGAAGCCATTATCTTTATACTGGTAATTCATATTGGATATAACCAAGATTTTTTTTAAAAGTGCTACTTATGTAATAGATACTCTTATCTATTAATAATAATAGAATAGTAATAGATACTTTTCCTATAATCTGCGGAGGACTCAATCAAATAATCAAAGCTAAATAGTAAAACAAACTTACTTCTCTTTTTGCAACTTAGAAATATGACTTCGAAATTTATAAAACTTTAAAAAATAACTATATCTGCTCTTAATAAGGGTTAGTCATCAGAATTGAAGAAATTCTGTTTTTTAGTTTATTTTCATTGAAAAATATTTCCATCTATTCAGCTCACCATCCCCAACGGTTATAAACTCGCTTAATAAGTTATAAACACTGCTGGAATATATTTAAAACTAAGCAGAAGCAATAAGATTACGAAGGTCAATTCTGTCTTGCGACTCTGGCTCACCAGTTACATTGTTTCATTCCTGTTGTTCTTAAGATTCAAATATTTGACTGATAGTTGGTTCCCCAAACAGATAAGAGGGAACGTTTAATTCTTCTCTAGAATAAATTTTTTTTAACTGAGAAATGATAATGTATCCTTTTATTAGAAAGGATGTTTCCCCAAAAGGCACAATAAAAATTACAAAAATTCCTAGTTCATATTAGCACATGTGGATTTCTTTGAGATGGCGCCAGTGTCTTGGCCTGTAGTAACATATGATAAATTTGGCAAAGTTAGTTTCACTGGCATGGCTTTATATGAGTACTGTTCTAAATAATTATGTACAGTTCTGTACATTAAACCAGAGAGCACAAGTCAAGCTTGGCAAT